TAAATTAATACAGTTGTGATTGAAATTAAATTATCAGTATTTTAATTTAATATCTTTATGGAGCTAATTAAGAAATTTTCGTAACAATAAAAAAACAAAAAGAAATCAATGTCAATATAAGTAAAAAAATTATATTAAATTTCACTATCAAACCAATAGGAGTATTTAACTCATTTTCCATACTGTATGCAATACTCACACAAAAACATGCCAAACCAAGTAACTAATAATCATTTTATAAAAAAAAGTCATAGCAATCAAACTAAATATATAGCTATGTATTCCTGCATCAAAAATTTTTCTCAATGGCTGAAAAACCATTTATTGACAAAATCATATCAAAAAGGCCTCAGAATTCTAATGTGACTGCAGGATATCGTTAACTATTCATATTTTATTTTATAGCTACAATACCCAAAATTATTCATATTTTATAGATATGCATGTCTAGAGTCTTATTGTGTCTCAAATAAGATTGTCTTCAATAAGACAAGGAAATACCTATGCATAAGAAAAAAATTGTTTGACTCTATTCAAATATCAGTCCTAATTAAGTTGGTATATTTTTATTATTAATATAATTATTGTGTAAACAATTATTTTTTCCAGTTCTTTGTGGATTTATATCTAATCTTGATTGAGGTTTATGGCTTCTTAACTGCTCTTGTTATTAATTTTTATTTTTGAGATATTTGATATTCTAAACTAAATTAGAATTCAATTCATTTTCATCATATTGTTTGAAAAATGGCCTGATATATATATATATATATATATATATTTATTTATTTATTTATATTTAATGAAGCCTGATATGATTTTAACACTGCCTATTATGGAGACCTCAGACCTAAACACATCCCTTCAATTGGCCACGAGCAAGTGTACACAACTTTAAATTAATTATTAATCTTATATTAGGAATTTCTTTCCAAAAGGATACATATAATGATGATAAGAAAAATACTATTGGCATATTCTTACAAATAAAATTAATGGTTATTAGTATTATTATATTCTCCACCATGGGTAAGAAGTGGTTCATTCTGTTTGTCTTGCTTAGCCTTCGGTATTAATATTATATATTGAGAATCTTTATATTAAACAAAGAACAAATCAAATGTTGCATCAAGGTAAAAAAAAATCAAATGTTGTATGGGAACGGCATCCGATGATTTTGCTTTATTAACAAGAATAACAAGAGGGGGAAAAAAGGCGTGTAAGTATAATTAAGAGTAAAAGAGTTAATTGGCTTTTGAGACTATTTAGGAGCATTTGAGACTCTAAACTTATTTTTAATATAATATTTTTTTTAATTTTTAAAAATAATACAATCTAATATTTTCTGTTAACAAAATTTAATTTTAACTGTTAGTTGACTAAAAAATAATAAAAAAGAAACTTTAAAAATTACATAAAAGGGTCAATAAAATTTTCTTCATCATTTTCTGTAATTTTTTGGATCCTCACTTCTAATTTTTGAATAATTTACTATAATTTTAATGTCACTTTCTTTCTTTCTTTCTTTTTGTTTATCAACTAATGATTAAAATTAATTTTTATTAACGTAGGAGTCAAATTGTATCATTTTCATTGAAAGAAAACATTGCACCAAAAATGAATTTAGAGTTTTAAATATTTTTAAAACTATAGTTTAGGGTCAATTTCTTCAATTAGCCTATAACTAAATGGGTAAGACTTATATACTTAACATTATATATTTAATATACTTATATCCAATCAAATCATAACAAGTAAATCTTAATTTACTAATAAAATTAATAATATGAATTTATTATAGAATAAATAACCTATTAATAATTTACATATTTTGATTTAATTAGAAATAAACATTAAGGATATAAGTGTAAGTTTATAAGCTTTTTCCAAATTAAATCTGGTCACACGACAGGAGTATCAAAGTTAAAATTTAGTTCTATTATGCTCGACATGACAACACATATATGGGGTTGTGTAAGATTTCTGGTAATCGATTACTTAAAATCTTTTTCATAACAAAAAGAGATTCTGTTCGTAGACTCTTATATGTTGTCCCAATAAATCTAGTCATGCACACACCCACACTCGCCCAACATTTTATTAATTTAAATGTTATTTATGTTTTTTTCAATGAACAATTATTGTTTGGCCGAATCAATCAGCGGGTCATTAATGCTTTTATATATCCTTTATAGTTACTGTTAAAAACACTCAAACTTGCCTTTCAAAAAAGCACTCAAACTTGAATTTTTAAAACTCTTCATTTCCATGAACATGTATATACTCCTAAGAATGTGATTTCGACATATTCATATTTAAGGTTATGGTATATGAATTTCGAAGTCACATCATTTGAAAAATAATAAATCGTTACTAGTAGACAAACATCTAAATTAAACTAAAACCCTAGCTGGCTAGTTGTAAACCCTCCAAAAAAAAACCTACATAAAACATTTAATCTAAATCGTATAGCCTCAATAAATCAAAATAATTAAATTCGACCACATACATATATTAAACCTCGTAATGCTTTGAACTTCTAACCCTAAATATTAGAATTAATTTTAAACAATCAAACCCAACAAAAACCTCCTAATAAAATCCAAAACCCTAAAACATGTTATATATATTAAGAAAATATATTGAGCAACGAAGGTGGTGCCTTCTGATGAACCCCGAGCATCATGATTCACACAAGGGACATGTATCTCCTACTTCCAATTTAAAAAAAGCCACGGCTTCTTCTTTCCCTTAGAGCTATGAACTTGATGGAGGAGTAATAATGACGACGTTCATGTGCGTCCTTGATTACTTTAAATTAATCGCTACTGTTATTTTCCATCAAAAACTGGAAAGTAATTGTCAACATCTGGGCACGGAGGCCCACTAAAGGCACCATTGTCCGTTAGTTGGAATTATAAACTAACATGACACTGGTCGAGAAGCCTATGATCTTGCTTGGTTTCTGTAAACATATGATTTACTGATCATTGACACCTGGCTAAGATCCTCGATAAGTGCACCGAATTAGGACTAATGAAAGATGAGTTAACATTAATCTAGCATGAGAGTGCCGTCTTATAAGCTATAGTACTGTAAAGAGAAATCTTATTGGTGGAAGAAATCTTGTTCACGTGGGTTTAGCCAATAGAAATATGGATTCAGAGACAGTCACCTTATAAAACTTTATATTTATATTTGTATTGGCCACCAGCTATAATATTATAATCATGCAACCAAATCATGTATGCTTTTGTAGAGTTTCTAAGTGACCAGTGGTGGTAATTGCAAAGATTAGATTATTTTTTTCTGTGGGGGTCCCTGCCTTTATAGGGTACGGATTAATGTTTGTTTAGCCTTTAATTTGGCTTTGGTTTCAGCCTCGACATAGGCGTGGTAAGGCTAGCTTCCCTCGATTGGCGAATGAAATGACATGCTAATTAGAGGGGGAAAAGCGTTAAACACTCTATTCAATGAACCCAGTTTACAGATCAAAAGGTAGGGGGGGTCGGGGGAATCAATGAAAAGTATAGCCAAAGAAATTTCATATATGAAAAAGGTTACTAGATTCTAAGCTTGTCCTGTAAAACCTGAGGACCAAATTGTAATAATACCTTGGGCATATTAAACCTTCTTAACAAGTTCACTTAAACTTGTGATAATGTACGTAGACTTTGACTTATAATAACATTTTATGTATATTAAACCTTGTTATTAACAAGTTGTCTTATACATATGCTATAGTCTAGCAGACTATACATCGATCAAAGATGAGTTTACCCTAGTCTATTATAGATCAGAAATTAAAATCATGTGTATAAGTACATATGATGACTAATTAACATCATAGTTAAATATACTATCCGCAGCTGACCTTTAATTTTAATACATACATATAGTATACATGTACATGCAAAACAAGTTATTCTAGCACATACTAAAAAGATTTTCACACTTGTTATACATATAAAACATGCTTGTATAGTTAATTAATTAAACAGAGAAAGTTGATACAGAGACATCGATCATTCGATCCAACTTTGAACTAGAACAATGGACAAATATCCACTTAAATAGTTGTCATATATATATATATATATATATCCACTTGGATATATGTATTTGTACATTTGTACTAGTATAATAACGTGTCAGACGCTTATATGCTGACGGTGTCATAAAAATGCTCAATTATTAAAAGTACTAGGATATCGACTGGATGCTCAAGTAATTCAATAATATTCGATAATATTGTGTGAAAAAGTACAGTACTATATTATTGGAAACAGTTATTTTTTGAAATAAAATTTATATCCTAGTGTATCCATTCATATAAATATGTCGTAACCCGTATTATTCAAAAAATATGCAACACAAGTTTTGTTATAATTTACCATCACGCATAAATGCTTTCTAGCTTGTATCAGGACGGTAATTTTATTTTTATTTATATATACTATATGTTTTTAGTATTTGAATTTAAACTTTAAATTTATTTGTTTTATTCAAATTAATATATATTTTTAAGTTGTGAAAAGAATTCTAGTTATTAGAGAAATAACTAGCCAGGAAATAACTAGAACATACTATTTTTATGATGTACTATATAAATGTCAATTTACATTCTTAATTTGACCTGCAGATCAGAATGATTTTTGGATCTAGTGTTTATGTATAAAAGGTTAGTTATCTTATATAAAAATTATATGGTTTTGTAGATATCGATTGAGAACACATGAAAAAAAAAAAATTAATACTATCAGTTGACATTCGCCTGAGTCCTGACACACACAAAAAAGGCATTATTTTAGGGATCAAATTCATATGATTAATGTTCTTATGGATCAAATTAGAAAAAATGACCAAAAAAGGGTCAAATTATAAATTAATATTTTAAAAAATAAATTTACACACTTTATAGTTTCGAAAGAATAAATTAATGGAGAGTGAATGTTCAGGCATTAAATCATCAATTTAATCTAATAGACCTTCTCCTCAAGTTGCTTCTCTTTCATCTCAGGTACTTTTTTGCTTATAAAGGTGTTACGGGACAGAAATTAGAAAGGCGCAAGAAGTTATGGTTGCAGTACCGAAACCACTGATCTGATATATATATATATATGAAAAGCCAGAGGGGTTTGCTTCGGAGTAGGCTCTAACAAGTAAGAATTCATCTTCACCCGAAAACTTTATTTCAATTATAGTATTATACTGATTTTCGTGATGTATTTGCAATTCGAAAAATCTTATTTTAGAAACCCTAAGTGAAGAAGGTGTGAAGGAATATATGGGAAGAGGGAAGATTGTGATCCGAAGGATTGATGATACAGCAAGCAGGCAAGTGACTTTCTCGAAAAGGAGAAAGGGATTGATGAAGAAAGCGAGAGAGTTAGCAATCCTGTGTGATGTAGAAGTTGGACTCGTTATCTTCTCCAGCACTGGAAAGCTTCATGAATATGCCAGTTCCAGGTTCCTTATAATTTAACAGACCTTCAATTTTCGGTCCAAATAAAATATGCTTAATTACTTTTGTATTTAATCAAACTGCTTCATCTGCCCCCTGTTTCCCTAATTAAATGGTTGAAACTGTTGATAATGAAGTTCATTTCTTGGATTTTCTGAACTGATAACCGTGCTTATGCATATTCTTTCATTCTTTTCACAGTCCTGGAGTGAATACATCAGTTTATGGATAGAGAAGAACTGATTACTAGACCTAGATGGAAAGAGAGGGCGAAAAATGAGTTTTTTCTTTTTTAAATGAAAAGGGCTTCTATTTAGACTACTGTATTTACATTTGGGGAAAAAAAATTACTTCTCTTTATCATATCCATTTCTCCTAAATCCAGACCTATGTTAAAGATCAGAATATGATATTTAATTAAATTTAATTGAAAGCGTTGAAATGAAATTTGGCTGCCTTTTCCTTCTATTCATTTCAAACACCCATGTATAGGCCCCCTTAAAATTCCAATTTTCCAGAAATTACAATATCACCAAAAGAAAACTCCCTGACATCTCTTTTTTGCATCTTGGTTATTTAAAAAATGAAGTCCTTCGAAATCTTGATTTACTAATCCATTTTAAGACTTGTAGTATTCTTGTAAAATATGTCACCTGAAATATTTTTTTTCCCAAATTTAGAAAGGTTTGGTAAGGCATGGCCCAATTTTTCCAATTTTGACACATTATTTGTAGCCGGCCAGCTATCAATTTAATAGTGTCACGCCACAATTAACTAGTCTTGTCAAGACTTTAGACAATTATTTAGGATTTCGGGAACTGTTAGACAGAACACCACCCCTAGTGTGTCCCGAATATTGTTTTCAAGTCCCATTTAGAATTATTATATAAGGCAAGTTGCTCATACAATCATGTCGATCGTCACTGCTTTTGGGAAATAACCTTGTAATATAATCAACATAACTCAATCTTAATATATATTCCTAATACAAAAGATTGTTCATCAACTTGGAATTTCAATTTGTATGACAGTATCATGCATAGCCTTTATTAGCAATTCCATTAAGCATGCAACTGTTGTCAAATACTTAACTTAATCATGTATATGTAATTAGCCTTCTCGAGATACATAGAGCTTCTTAATTGCTGGCTAGCTACCTACCCTTTGTATTATAGTAAAAAGGATGACTATAGTTGTAGGACTGTAAGATCCGGGACAATGTTAAGCGGCTCGATGGTGATGATATTGATATGAGATTGTGATGCCAGTTTCTATTGGTTTGTTTCCCTTAATAACAGGGGAAATAGAGGTTAATTAGCAAGTGTAAGGTTTTAAACAACTTGATATATATTCAACTATGTATTAGCTAGCTAGGCTTTTGCAGAGTAAATAATATGATATGAGGTGGCTAAACGATAGTTGACAATAATTCAAAATCCCATAATGTGTTATTTCACGATAAACAACACTAATTAAAATAGCCTCACAACAATAACAACAAGTCTTATCCCACTAGGTGGGGTCGGCTACATGGATTATATGACACCATTGTGTTCTATCATTTATTAAGTTTTTAGGAATATTATTAATTAAAATATCTCGCTCAACAATCTCCAAAAGTGTTTTCTTCGGTCTTCCTCTACTCTTGTTGACAGGTTCAAAGTCATCTATTCTACTCTCCTTACAGGTGCCTCCTGTGATCTTCTTTGTACATGTCTGAACCACCTCAAATAATTTTCTACCATTTTTTCTTTAATAGGTGCCACACCCATTTTTTTCTATATTCACTCATTTTGAATTTTATCTTTACATGTATATCCACACATCTATCTCAATATTCTCATCTCTACTACTCCAACTTTATGCTCTTGCTGTTCCGTCAAAGTCCAACATTCACTACTATATAAAATTGCTAGTCTTATAGTAGTTTGATAAAACTTTCCTTTAAACTTATTAAGTATCTTACGATCGTAAATAACTCATTTAGCCTTTTCTCCAATTAAACCACCCTACTTGTATCCTATGTATAATATCTCTATCAATGTCTCCATTTTGCTGAATAATTGCTCCCAAATATCTAAACTTTTTCATTTGAGGTATGGCTGATTACTCAATTTCACTTTCAAGTTACTACTTATTAACCCCTTATTAAAATTACAATGTAAATATTCTATTTTACTCTTACTCGAGCGGAAACCTTTTGACTCTAATATCTTCCTCCATAACTCAAGTTTATAATTTATCTCTCCTCTTGTGTTTGCAATAAGAACTATATCATCCACAAAAAGCATGCATTTAAGAATTTCCTCTTGAATATGCTTAGTCAAAATATCTAACACTAGATCAAATAAATAAGGACTCAAAGATGATCCTTAATGCAATCCAATCTTTATAAAAAAAATCTTTTGTTTCACCACCAAGTGTTCTTATACTAGTTGTTGTCCCTTCATACATATCTTGTATAACTTCAATATAGGCAACCCAGACACGCTTCTTTTTTAAAGCCTTCCAAAGTACTTCTCTTGGTACACGATCATAAGCTTTTTTTCAAATCAATAAAAATCATATGTAAATCTTTGCCTTTGCATCGATATTTTTTCATTAATGCCCTTAATAGATAAATCTTTTCTATGGTCGCTCTCCCTAGCATGAAGCCAAACTAATTCTCCGAAATCTCAGTTTTCAATCTCAACCTATGCTCAAACACTCTTTCTCATAATTTCATAGTATGACTCATAAGTTTAATCCTTCTTTAGTTAGCACAATTTTAAAAATCTCCTTTATTTTTATAAATAGGATCTAAGATGCTTCTCCTCCAATCGTCCAGCATTCTCTTAGATTGTAAGATCTCATTAAATAACTTAGTTAACCACCACACTCCTTCTTCACCAAAATATTTTTACATTTCAATAGGGATATAATCAAGTCTATTGGCTCTACCATTTTTCATTTTCTTAAGAGCTTCTTTCACTTCCCAAGCTCGTATTCTTTGATAAAAAGGCAAATTTTGCTCTCTTTCAAAAGTTACTAAATCTTCCCAATTAATTGACGACCCCCCATCATTAAAAAGCTTAGAAAAGTATGTTTCTCATATGTTTTTAATATCATTATCTGTGACTAAAATATTTTCCTCTTCATCTTTTATACACCTTACTTATTTCAAATCTCTTAATTTTCTTTCCTTACTCTTAGCAATCTTATAAATTTTTGTTCTCCATCCTTTGTCCCAAGACTATTATAAAACTCTTCAAATGCTTTAGAACAAGTTTCACTCATGGCCCTTTTAGTTTTCCTTTTAGTCATACAATACTTTTCCTAATTTTTATCATTATTGCACAAATGAATGGCTTTGAAACACTCATCTTATACTTGATTTTTTCCTGTATGCTATCATTCTACCACCAAGACTCCTTATCTCTCAGATCAAAATCTCTTAATTCTCCCAAATCTTCTTTTGTAACCTTCCTTACGTTCATAGCCAAATCTTCTCACAAGGTATTAGCACTTCCTTGACACTCTCAAATTCCTTCGGCCAAGAGATTTCTCTTGAAAATTTCCCTCCTTTCACCTTTTAATTGTCACCACCTAATCTTTGAAGTTATTACTTGTCGATGCTTTTGGTTTTTACTCATAATACATATATCAAGAATAAGGACCCTATGTTGTGTCGTAACAACATCCCCAGGAATCACCTTACAGTTTTTACAAAGTCTTCTATCCGCGTTTCTTACCAAAAAGAAATCAATCTGTGACCTTAAAGCTCTACTTTTATAAGTGATGAGATACTCATCCCTCTTCTTGAAATAAGTATTAGCAAATCTTGAAATCATATGCCAAAGAGAAATCCAAGATATGTTGTCCTTCATTATTTAGTTCGCCAAAACCCACACTACCATGCACCCTCGTATAATGACCTGCCTCCCTTCTGACATGTCTATTAAAGTCTCCTTTAATAAAGATCTTTTCATTATGTGGTATGCTTTTAATCAATCCCTCCAAGTCTTCCCAAAATAATTCTTTAAGACTGGCTTCTGTCCCAACTTGAGATGCATAAATGCTAATAATATTGATAGTCTCTCGTCCGATGATCAATTTTAAGGAAATAATTCTATCCTCAATCCTGTTAATTTCTACCATGTTCTTCTTCCACTCCTTATTGACAATGATATCCACCCCATTGCATGTGTTTACTTTCTCAATATACCAGATTTTGAAACCTTAGATATCCTTAGCTTGTTCTCCAGCCCATTTAGTCTCCTGCAGGCACAAGATATTAATTTTTCTCTGAATCATAACTCCTACCAAGGTCCTAACATTCCAAGTACCAAGTCTGATCTTGCTGACATGGAATAACTTCTTTAGCCGTGCTCATCCAAAATAACATGATAGCCCTTACTCATTTAATACTACATTTAGGCATCAATGCAGCAGCCTTAACTCACCTATCACTGCACTCGAGCCATGCAGTGCATTACTTATAGGTAATGACCTAACATTAGCACAAAAACGTATATTGTCTATATCTATGTGTAATTCAATAAAGTTTTACGTTAGCTGTTGAGGGCCTAACACAACCCTCCTCCTTTATCTAGGCTTGAAATAGCCTCACAATTAAAAGAAAATTCAACTCATAAATTTAATCAAGTCTTTGAAATACAAATGGCTTAATTGTTTAAATAGACTTTTAAAAACCTAAATGATGTAATCCTAGCTAATTTAGGATTCCAAATGGATAGATCATATCCTAATAGATATATTTTATCCTATTTGAATTTAAAATAAAATAAACTTATTTCTGTAAAGTTAAACTTGAATTTAAAATAAGATAAAATAATTTTCTAAATTTAAAAAAGAATATTAACTAAACTAATTGGACTCATGGGCCTAAGCACAACATACTAAGAGTCTTTCTTAAATCTTGAAATACTCCATTTACTTTTAGAACTTCTTGATCATGTAGACATCCTTAATTAATGAATTTAGGGCTTCTTTTGTCCTCTTGGCTCTAGATTTAGTCATTGGTCCTCCAATGCCCTGTAATAGATTAAAGATATTAAATGTTGGATTCTAACTTATCCCTTAATTCCTATTGATCATTCCCCCTCTTGAAGAAGATACATCCTCGAATCAATGTATTAAATGAAGAAAGGTTTATCTTGTAGGCATTGTCATTAATTCATTCCAACACTTAAAAAGGTCTATCACCTGTTGGATGTAACTTTGTCTTCATTAAATTTGGAAATCTCCTATGCCTAAAATGTGTCCAAACCCAATTTTCAGGTTTAAAGACAGCTTTCTTTCACCTTTTGTTAGCTTGCTTATCATACTACTCATTTCTCCCTTCAATTGAAGCCTTCACCTCAAAAGAAGAATAAAACATAGAACATGCATTTGGGCTTAAAGTAAAATTATGGCCCAATTTGCTTCCTCTAAGTCTATAATTATGTATTGGGACTTCAATGTGTTGATTTGGGATCCTAACACATATTATAGCCTCTTAATTATAAATATATTTACTCGGATTTTTCTCTACGTGAATGACATGACTTTGGGTAACTAGGTGACATGGGATACCACCTAAGACTTGATTGTCACATATACTATCATCTAAAACTTGATTGCCACATAGGATGCCATCTTGAATTCACATAGGATGAAATCATTCTCCTCCTCTTGAAGAGGAGTTGTCCTTGACTCTTGAGGATCTTTAAATAGTGAGCTTACATATTTATCATCAACTTCCATCATTTCATCATCAAATTCCCATAATGGAGAATCAACATAACTTAAAAAAGAATGATTAAGAATGAAAGGATGAAAATGAATGGTACCAAATGATAGGGAGAAATTGAATAATAGCTCACAATAATTCAAAATCTTATGGTGTGTTATCTCAAGAAGAACAACACTAATCGAAATAGCCTCACAATTGAAAGAAAATTCAATTCATAAATTCAATCAAGTCTGAAAAATACAACAGGCTAAATTGTTTAAATATACTTCTAAAAACCTAAATGACGCAATTCTAGTCAATTAAGGATTCTAAATGGATAAATAAGATCTTAATTGATATATTTTATCCTTATTTGAATTTAAAACAAAATAAACTAAAATTTCCTAAACTTGAATTTAAAATAAAAATAAGAGAAACTAATTTTCTAAATTTAGGAAAAAAATAACAACTAAACTAATTGGACTCATGGTCCTAAGTATCTTAGGTTAAGCTCAATATGCTGAAAGTTTTTTTTTTTTTTTTCATCTTGAAAAACTCCATTTGGTTTTAGGACTTCTTGATCATGTATGACATCCTTAATTAATAAATTTAGAGCTTCTTTTATTCTTTTGAATCTGGATTTAGTTATTGATCTTACAATGCCCTACAACGGATCAAAGATATTAAATATTAGATTTTGATTCGTCTCTTGCTTCCTATCATAATAGTTCAGATGATTTGAAAATTTAGTTTGAAAAATCTTATTTTATAATAAGATCAAAATATGACTGATGACATTGTGATGAGTAAAAGATCTGAGTATCATTGCGGTAATCGAAATTGTCTGATTTACAATTTAAATTTATAATTTTTTTAACGAGTCACTAAATTAACATTACCAACACATCTAGAATAGCGAGATTTTCCCATTTAGAAATATGAGAAAATAATAAATTGGCATGACATTGCTATATTGTTAAGTAATGTCTATGCGGCATGTCTCTTGTAAATAAATAAAAATATGTAGATAATTTCAAAAATTGATTGCTTACAAAGGACGAATGAGTTTACATTTAATCTGTGTATTTAGGTATGTTTCTCAACTTTTAAGTTTTCTTTGCCTGAATTTTAAATTGAATTTACAATTTAAGTATTTTATACAGATTACAAAACAATATCATATATGAAATTTTATACTTTCCATATTATTTTTCATTTATCATTAATTGAATCTTACCATTACTATTTACTAACATAAACATGTTTTCTTATATATACGGCGATAAATATGATGGGTATATATATATATATATATATATAGTTTATCGTCCTCTTTATTTCTTCAAGGATAAATATGGCTTTCGCTCTTCATTTTTATTTAGAAAATGTTCAAGGCACCGAAAAGGAAACGATTCAGTATACTAATATATATATATATATATATATGGTTTATCGTTCTTTTTGTCATTTCCAATTAATCATATCATTTTCATCTCCAAAAGTTGGCATTTTTATTTCTGGTTCCCAACACCCCAGTTGAGATTTGGTGGTTCCAAATATAATTAATTATTTGTAGAAAAATATTTAGGTCTTCAAATATATGCTTTTACTAAGGTATCAATTTATTTTAAATTTGAAAATAACTTTAAAATGTTAACAACGAGAGTTATATAGTGCAAATAAAAAATTACCTGTTCTTTTGATTGAAACATAATGCTTTTTTATGCAAGTGGAAAATAATGCTTTTAAATATATATAAATTTTTGTATATAATTATCTAACTATGTCAAATTTAAGTATTATCGGACTGAATTAGCTTTCAAAGATATTTTCTACATTCATATGAAGTCAAATTTAAAACCTTATCTTAAGCAATCATAGCCTATTCCACTAAAACTAATGTATGTTGATTTAAGTATATAAATTTTGGTACTTTAGCTTGTTCATTATTTTTAATTTTTTGATAGGTGGTTTCAATTATGCCTTGGGAGTGGGATGCAAAATAGAAATTGCAAGCTGAATAATCATTTCAAAATGCTTTGTGTGTGTTAATAGAGAAAGACAAGTCCCACATATAAAAAAACTAAAAATAATTAAAAACGTGTGTGTGTGTGTGAGAGAGAGAGAGAGAGAGAGAGAGAGAGAGAGAGAGAGACCTATAGTTAATCCATTCAATAACTAAAACTTTTGGTTAACGGATAGCTACAAGCATAATCATTCAAATCTCAAGATGGCATATAAGAGCATCATGGCCGACCATGACATCAGAATTTCAAACCTAACAGTTAAAGTTCGAGAGCCCTATGAAAAGAAAAGAAAATGAGGAAGCGGAAAAAAGTAGGAAGAAAATTGCGTTTAACTTGTAATGTTTGAATTTTAAGAATAATGTGCTTTAAAGGGTAACTACTTAAACAATAGTTACATTTATATATTTTTCATTATCACTTTTTCTTGTGTGCGAAATATTTTTCAGAACCTTTTCACTTACACACACTTGCAAAGTTTAACTAAGAAACGTCTAAAGGTCATTATAAAAGCAGAATATTTTCATACAAAAAAATTTAATGTTGAATAAAGTGAGTCTGAAGCTTTCGTTAGGTCCTGCCCCCTTCAAGTGCAAATTTTAAGTTTAACTTGTATTTTTAAGGTGAGCCAAAATGAATTTTAATGTTCAAGTTTAGTATTTTTTTTAAGAATCTGGAATTTCAATTAATAAAAAAGAAATAAAAAACTACTTATAAATATAAACAAAAATAACTGAACTAAAATCTTGATTCTCTTTCAAATCTCTTCGTTATATTTGAAAGTAAATCAACAGGTCAACGAGTAGTTTATTCTTTGGTACTAACCAATGTCTGGCTAAGGGAACTTTTTTTTTAAATCTAGAATATACATGAATAATCAAAAAGCTTATTTAGCATTAACCCAGGTACTTGTCAAGAATTAATAATCAAGTCTCTTTCTTCATTCCATCTTGCCCTACATTTTGCAAATGTTAGGTTGTCCAAATGTAAAATTTAAAATGATGTAAGAAATTTTACTTTAAATATAGTTGAATTTAATATTTAATATATAATAAAGAGGAAGAACTCATAAATTTAAGTTTTGAGATTTTGAATTAAGATGTGATGTCGCTAATTTTGCCCGTTTCTCTCCCAATTTCTAAAGAAAAAATAGAATAAAAAGAAAAGTAAAAGGAGAAGAGAAGTTCACACTTTGTCCTTTGTTGTTTCATATTCCCTCTAGTAAGATGGAAAGGACGAAGTGTGAACTTCTGTGGCCGCGCGACATTTGTTCTGAGTATTTTATTTGCCATCTCTGGTAATTGTGATATTCTTTTGTCTGTGACCTGTAGCATGAAATCAGTGGTTGAGAGATATAACAGCTGCAAGGAGGAACATGAACGACTGATGAATCCAGAATCAGAGGTCAAGGTATATATTATATTCTGTCTGTCATGTCAATTACTCCATTACTGTCCCTTCATGATATTGTTGAATAAGCCTACAAGAAATTTACCGTGGATAGTGGGGAATATTACGTGATCTGCATAAAAACTTTAATCTAGCTATAACAAGGATTGTATTTATTAACATTTTTAAGTTTTCCAACGGTAATTTAATTTCTATGTCCAGATTGGATATTGACATCATGCATACTTCGCCTGTCTCATCGTAGAACATACTGAAACTTTCTCTCATGATCGATTAATCAAAATGATAAACCTCATTTCCTTTCACTTCTAGTTTCCGTTGTGTTACTTATTCTAATTGCATATATCGATTTACTTTGGTACTTGATAGTTCTGGCAAAAGGAGGCAGAAACACTAAGGCAGCTGGTACATAATCTACAAGAAAACCATAGGTACAAAATTTCCATTTTCATTTTTTTTTTGTATTTAACAGTTTCATAATTTTATTAAGTAAATTGAAGAATCAAAGTTCTGGAGATTAAAGCATACTTCAATGTCTGACATGAAAGTATTAGCATGCTGCAGTCAAGGTATATATTATATACTGATTGAATCTTACCAATTTTCTGCAAAGTAAGTTACCAAGACTTTGTTGTCACTGCAAACTCCACTTATAATTAGAAAAAATCTGCATTACCTGCTAACATGTTTGTGTGTGGGGTGTATTGCTACAATTCTGTCAATCTATGAATTTAATTAGTACACCTACTTTGAACTAGATATTCACGAGTCACAATGATGGAATTGATTGCAAGTTCTGCTACAGTATACTACCAAAAGGGAATTGTAGTTGGACACTCATAATACGTCAAGCATCAAAATTCCAAATAGTGACAAGTTTTTCTTTCCCTTAATGCATATGGCAATAAAGGATTGAATGAACCGAATGTATATTTATATATATATATATATATATATCTCATATTATGCCTTATGCATGATGAGAACACTAACGTTTTAGAGACACAGGAAATTAATGGGAGAACAGCTTTATGGTTTAAGTTTCAAGAACCTACAAGATCTCGAGGATCAACTAGAGATAAGTCTCCGAGGTGTCCGCATAAAAAAGGTCAGCTTCCTTCAAGTTTATTCCAATTCTACAGGAACAGTAGCGAACAAGCTAACAAGCTTAATTAGTCGAATTATATGCAGGAACAAACTCTAGCAGAAGAAATCCGAGAGCTGAGAAGAAAGGTTTGTCTGAGTGGAAAATCTTCACAAAATTAAGGTTGCCTCCAATGTTGTCATTGAACTGAACTGGCCTTCTTAAACTTTGTTTTACAGGGAGACGCTGTGCATCAGCAAAACGTCGAACTCTGTAAGAAGGTAAACCTCATTCAACAAGAAAACATGCAACTATACAATGAGGTACGTACCCAGCTAATTATTCTCAAACTTAGCCACAAAAAGCGACAAACTGACAATAGAAATCTGAAATCTCACTTTGGATAACAAATGAAGCTTGACGTGTCAGGTTTATGGCACAACAGATGCGGCTGTAGGAAGCAGAAATGAATTCATTTCATATGGCGCGCATGCAGGACAAGAATACCCACGAGCAATGACCCGACTTCAGTTATCGCAGCCTGAACAAGAAGCTCACGAGACATCAGGCAGTGGCCCTGGATGAAGGTCATATTAATTAGTTACATATTTTAGCTCACCATTGGTTAAAGAAAGATGATATGTGACATCATATTGCAGGATATATAATAACCACAAAGCAAGAAGTCACTTCGTTCAATTGCCGCAAGCATATGGTTCGTCAAGAGAGATCACTGAAGCAGAAGAATCGGTACAGTCACGTTAACTAGTCAAAATAAGATGTGCATGAAAGGGGCATATGTAAAATATTGGGCAGTATCACATGGACATAAACTTTTCCCGCTTCTGTAACCAATTGCTTTTTTAGCGATAATTTTCTATCTACCAAGGTCTGAGAGTTATATATATGCATAATCTAACCCTATTCTTTACTGTCAGCCATACAAGATTGATGATTTTCAAAAAAAAAAAATAAAAACTCAAGATTACAAATTACTGCTAACAATAACTTCGGAGTTAAATCTCTACCTTCTTCAGAGAAAACCTTGGCAAGGGGAGAGAGACAACTTCAGGAAATTGTTACAATTAATTAACAGTCTCCAGAGATAAATGAATTCTGATTGACAAAAATATGTTGATAAATGAAATTATTGCAAAAAAAATAAAAGAATTGCAAATTTTGTTAGATAAATTTTTCAAATGTAGGGCAATGTTTTAAGACTCAGATCATAAGATTGGTCAAATTATTGTCTGGTGAAAAAAACATTTTAGTTTAACTATATATTTAACCCGTTCTGGTATAGTTGGCTTAAGTTAGCCTGCAAAAACTTGGGACTCAGAATAAATGGTTGGACCGTTTTGAATCGTTTTCTCTTTTTACTCTTATTTAATAATAATTTTTTATTCAATTTAAAATATTAATGTCAACTTACTTTTGGGCTATTACAATAAAATCTAAAGTGCATGATTTTTTATTGACATTATATAAATAAAAGTGTAGAGAAACTTAAAAACTCATTACTTAAAAAGAAGAAAAAGGTAAGTAAAAATTTATACATACGAAAAAAATGAGAAAAATTAATGTTAAAGTATATTTTTAGTCTTCTAACTTTATATAAGGTTTCACTTTCTTCTAACTTTATATAAGGTTTCACTTTCATCCTTTTTTTGTAAATTATTGTTTTAGTCCTTTAATTCTCATATCGCTAGTTTCAAATGTTATTTTTTATATCAATAATTTTTGTTTTAAAAAAATTAAATTAATATGTCAACACTTGATGAAAATGTTTTGTCAGTATTTGAAAGTTTAATATAAAAATTTATTAAAGTAAAATTAACAATATTAGAGTTAAAGGGTTAAAAAGACACTTTATAAAGTTAAGGAACTAAAATGAATATTATATAAAGTTCAAGGACTAAATGTAAACTTTAGCTAAATTTAAAATTTAATATATTATGATTGAACAACTCTAAACCAAAAATAATATTATCAATATTTTTAATGTTTTATTTATATATATGCATGTAAATATTATTTTTTATTTAATTATTATACCATCAATTTGACTATTAATCTAACAGATTAAACCACAAAAACTGTAATTTGTTTACCTTTCCAATTCATCATGGTTTGATTTTTAAAACCTTGTAGAGTCTTATACAACTATCATGTTTGAAAGGTGACTCTCAAGTCCCAAACTATGATCCTTCTATTCAAAGAAATTCTGATGCTTAGATCAACAGGTGGTATCCTATTGAGAAAGCCAGTAAAGAATTGGTCCACTAGGCTAATATGGGCTTTAATAAATTTCAAGCCCCATCATCCCAACATGGTTGTTGAACTATTAAGCATCTTAAAAAGAATCAAACTTTGTTGGGATACTAAACTAACCAAAGTGAACATTTATTTGAACTCTCTTAAAGCTTTGTCCTTGATTCAATACAACTTCTTCAAAAACCATTCTTATTTAAATTATATCGAGAAGATCAAGGAATTTATTGTAAGAGATTGGACAATTACTTTCGACCATGTGCCAAGAGAAGTAAATAGATATATCGATTTTCTTGCTCACCAAGCATCCAACAATAATTTTGAGTTAATGATCTTTCATGAACAAAATTCTAGGTATAGAAATATAATGCATTTTGATATGATTGAATAGTTTTTTTTCTTCTTGCACAGGTTTTTCCTATGGCCATGTATTAAAAAAAATTGAGCCCCTTAGGAGATCACTATTTTCATTGAGAGAACCCTTCAGAAAAGAAAATCAATGGATTTTGAGTCTAGTAAAAAAAGTTAATCTTTTATAATATGGCCAACTAAAGTTTAAATATCTATTGAGAAAGGTACTCACATTTAATACTTAACAGTACCTCAAATATGATTGCTTTCAATAATAGAATACATGTGAGTAACTAAAAAAAAGGAAAAAAGTGTACATTATTGATTAATAATTTTAAAGTTAAATTACTTTCTCTTCTTTTAAAACTTGGCTTCATTTGTCTTCTGTTTTGAAAAATTGTGCTCTCTTCTTTAGAACTCAAACGTGAACTGTATTTGCCAATATTGATGAGGATATCCTCAAATATTTAAAATATAACTTAATTTAAAAAAAATGCAACATAACGTACCCACTTTCGTGAGGAAGAAACAGAGTCATTTTTCCTTTTTCTTTTTCGTCAAAAAGGTGAGTTACCGAACTAAATCATTTTGTCCAAAGACGATGCTTCTAAAGACATCTACTTGTGTCGCCCTCTGGCGGGAATCCACCGTCATTTAATTTCTGATCTTTTCATTTATTTTAGTTTAGTTAGCTTTTTGTATTATTTCATTCACTTTAGTACTCCATGATGATGTGATATGAATTGTTGACTTTAAGAAACAAAGTTATGAGAAGGATGCTATTAAACCAAAATTTATTTGAAAATGAACTTTTTTTGAAGCTAAATATTACAGCATTTATTGTGGCAAAAAATAATAATAGTACATCATTTGTATTTGACTTGAATTTTTCTTCTAGTTCGCAGGGGTCATTGTTCTAATTGTAAATAAACTGCGATAGCATCAGTAGTTGCAAATAATTTAACCATTGATTAATTTAAAATTTTATTTAATTTTTACAAGGGTCTATAACTCTTTATTTTTTTTTAACTGGTTGGCAGTGTCAGTTTCTTCTGGCTGACTCGGTCTGCCTTATTGTAGTTATGAAAAAGATATATTGTAGGTGAAATAATAATTAGTAAGCACAATATTGTGAATTTTGAAAATACAAGAATACCTCAAAATTGAACATTTACATGGATTGCTTCCAATTTGATGCAACAGAATCTGATTCATGAAATGGCTGTTGCTTTGCAGGAAGGGAATTCATATAGCACACACATGAACAAATTTTCCTTATTTATGTATGAACCATAACACACACACACAACATGAACACAATTTTCCTCATTTATGTATGAACCATAAACACACACACACACACACAACACAGACAGTTACAGACCATTCTTCAGAATTCAGACCACCTTCATTGCCAGATTCTGCATTCCTCGTTGTCATCAACGGTTATTTCCAATACATGTATATAGCTTGAAAAAGCATGCAGCTCTTTTCTGCTCCATTTTCTGGGAATCTGGGAAAAAGCCAGAGCAGCTCTCAGTCTCCTAGCTTACGGTCCCTCACATATGAGCATTACGGAGACGATCCCATATTCATACTTTGAGCCGACAATCAAGCGCAGCATCCCTGTTTACGCAGTAACTAGGAATCAAAGCATATATATCTATATGTGCACGTATGAAAACGAACAAAGATAGCAATCTTAGATCTATGCAGTTTATCTGCAAATGAAGTATATAGATATGCTTGCAGTGACACTCATCAAACAGTCAAGAATGAAGGCAATAGCTAGGAATTATATATGCATACCGAAAATCGTGAAAGACGAAGGAAAGGCGTTGTGGTTGATCATCGAGATGAGAGCCGTCGTCGAAATTCTGGGAGTAGCTAACAGGATCGTATTGAAAGGAAGGAGGCTTGGATCCGTGGGAAGGCCTGGTTTCTCTGATGAACTTTCTGAGGAGATTTCTCCAGCCGCGGTTCCTCTTGGCGGCGCAATTCTGGGGGATGCGAGAGTACTCAAATTCATCGTGGACCACCGGCAAGCACGACGGCGACGCCATGCAGCCGCCGCCGGAGAAGTAGGAAGATCGATGCCCTGCCCTCAGATTTTTATCCATTGGAACTGGGATGGATGGGATGGGAATGTGTGTGCGATATGGAGGGCTGTTCTGTGCTTAAGCTCCTGATTGATGAAAGATATGATGAGTCGGATGAGGTCACAGTTGTTATTGTCCATAGCTAGCTCCAGTAGTGGTAGTAGATTTCATACCAGCCTAGCATTTAATTTACTTTTACATCTTCTCTTTTTGAGATCTCCATGCTACATAATCTATTTTTATTTTTTATATGTCTATTTTAACTGAAAATATAATTCTGATTACAATCCAATAAAATTACATTATAATATATATTACTATTGCAATTATACATACACATATGCCCTTGTTAAATAAAAAAAAAAAAATTTCACATTTAGTTATCCTAATAATAGTGCCATCTTCTTATTTGAAAAAAGGCCTATGATTGAATTTAACGTTGACAAGTTGGTGTTTTTCTTATGAGAAAAATGCTAGGTTATGAATAAAAATTAAAAATAAAAATTTCATTTTTTGAATATGTTTTTGTTTTTACTATTTATCAGCTAAATTATACTCGTAGTCCTCTAATTTTATATAAAATTTTAATTTAATTTTTTAATTTTATAAAATATTTTTTTAGTCCTTCAACCTTAATACTATTAGTTTTTAAATGACTATTTTTTGTGTCAATTATTATTATTTTTAAAAAAATTAAATTTAATATGTTAAAATTTGAGAGGTATTTTCAATATTTAAAAGTTTAATATAAAAATTTATTAAGACTAAAAATAAGTTAAGGAACTAAAGTGAAACCCTATCTAAAACTAAAAGACTAAATGTATATTTTAATCTTTTTTATCTGATAGTCCGATAAATATGATAGCTTAAAATTAAAATATTGATGATTTTATATTGATCAGTGTTTATTATATTGTCATTAATAATTTTTATTTAGATAGATGTAATTTTAACTTTCTATTATAAAAAAATATCATAAATATTTTAAAAAATATGTATTGTAAAAAAATCATTTAAACGTTTATTCTGTGCTTTCCAAATTTTCTTTATTTATGATGCTATATAAAATTTAAAAAAATTACAAAGATAAAATTTGTTATCATATTCTAATTGAAAATTAATAGAACAAAGAAACACTCATAAAATATGATAAATGATATTCCCTCCATTAAAAATATAATATATTTGTATATCAAACTCATGGCTTGTTGGTTATAAAGCCATTCATGTTGGCTTCACTTTGCAAGTCATGATTCAATTCTACATTTTTCACTAAAAAATGTAAAACATTTTTAAATAAACCTCACTTCTAATAAAGTAATTATTTTTTTAAACTAATATCATCTTTTCATATTTAACCTTATTTAATAGGTGTTTCAATTTAAAATAAATATAAAATAATTTATTTATTATGGATATTTTAAAAAGTATATTAAATATACCTTAAAATGTTAAAAATGTTGTATATTTTTAAATATTTATTTAAAAAATGTTTTATATTTTTAAATGAAAGATGTTTTATATTTTTAAATGAAAGATGTAAGAAAACATTACTTAATTAAGTAGTGCATAATAAAAGAAGCAGGACAGCTCCATCAGCCTTCATTCCATAGACCCATATGCAAGAGTACCGTTGGGGAGCTACTGATAGCCTGAACCTCCATAATTCAATTCAAAATCAATATGTATTTTTTTAAATAATTAAAGTTATAAAGACTGAGTTATCAAAGTTAAAGGTTAAAAATTGAGTTATAATTAAATTAAAATTATAAAGATCAAGTTAAAGATTAAGAATTGAGTAACAATTAGGGTATGAAATACAAGGATCAAATCATTAATTTTTCAAAACAAAATCAATATGTATCTGAAAATAAACTGATCATGTTATAATTTTTTATTTATTTTCTCATTAATATATACATGTATGCCTGTTTCATACCATCATATGCCATATGTTAATATATAAATTTACGTTTCTTGGAATTTTTATATTATATATGTTAGATTTTTAATTTACTATAATTAATAAATATCCATTACACAAAGTTAGCTTAAGCCACGTAGCCAGTAGAAATCACCTACAACTTTAATATTATTCATTTAGATTCTAACCATCACATGTACAACTTTGATAAATTGCCTAATAATATAATTAAGGAGTTAAAGCCTTTCTCATAACCGATAGATCATGGCATGATGTTCTTAAGATGAGTAACTTATTTGTTAGGTATTTTAAAATATAAAATTTAAGAGAATTTTTAAATTGAGAATGATAGAAACAAAAGAAATATTTATACAAAAGTTGCGTCTCCGCGGGGTTGAATTATTAATACAATTCTATTTATTGAGTTTTACATTCACAGTGAAATCTGGTAATGGGATTGAAAACATGCATCCACCTCTGTGGTGTACGGCAATAATTGAAAGTAAAAGGACCATAGGAATTATGAACCTATCTAGCACGCCTTTTTTTTTCTTCTCTTACAACCAAGCAATAGCAGTAGCCAGACCCATTATTTCTCACCAATATTCTGAAAAAATAATGACAAAGGAAAAAAAAAACATTCTGAACAACCCGTAAATTGAACGATGTCATCCACTTGAAAGAGCAATAAATTGAATTGGAAAATTGAGGCATGTGATTTTGGTACAAAAACGAAGCTCCGCTGGCCGCTGAAGTCACTCGCTGCGCGCATGTGGGGACTTGAAATCTTGTCGTTTAGCCAAAACTCACGAAGTGGGTAGCACTGTAGCAGATGACAGTGTCGTTTGCATGAACATTTCAGTCCCTAGGTTCTGGTGCTGTCTCTATCTTGGATTCCTTTTTATTTTCCAAACATTTTGCTCATATTGCATTCTCCATTCATTGCAACGACTTTATTATCCATAAACTACTCTCTGTTTTTCAATACAAAAGAAATTATTATATTTTATTTTTATTTATAAGTAAAATTATAAATTTTAAAAATATTTATTATTATTTTTCTTAAATTGTTCCTCACACAGTCAATATTTATTTTTACTAAATAAATTTGCTTTATTAATTGTAAGGATAATTTAGTCCAATTTTTTAGTTTTAGATATAATTATTATAGTTAACTAATTTTTTAAAACTGTAAAATTAGTTATTTTTTATATTTAAAAAAGGAGGGAATATGACTCAATTTTTCTTCATTTCCAATATCAAGTCCTTTAGTTCAACAAAAGATAAAAAAAATTATCAATTTGCAACGAATTAACAAAATTTCGGTTGCAAAATCCATCATAAAAGTTTCTTATATATATATATATATATATATATGTATATTTGAATTTGAGTGGGAAAATGTAACTTGTAGACTGGGGATTGCATATATAGTTGATTATGGGGAAGTGTATGTAGTTTGTCGTGAATGAGATGGACAACGCAAGAGCTATCTATCATAAGGGCACAAGAATCTTAGGCACATGTTGGGTTTTCAAGAAAGGATCAGAATGAGTCTTCGGCCACATGCATCACCAACCTTTGTCTTCGTATTTTTTTTTTTCTTAATTTGATCAAACTAGCTTTACATTTAGAGCTGAATCCCTCATTAATTCTTACAGATTTTAATCTCTGTTCCATCATTTGATTATTTTTTTTCTGCCCCTTGCTGGGATTGAAGAATTCATTACAAATGATTATGATTATTAACAAGGACATGCAACAAAATTACATTTATGGACTGAATTTTTTAAAGAAAAATAGAGTTAAATTGTAAGACTTGATAATGTTGGAGCTAGGTTGAAGCCTATGTTGGAGCCATTTGTTTAGTTTACTGACCAGTCATGGAAGAAAGGACTAATCAGGTGACGTGGCTGCCGGGAGATGTGGCAACATTGGAAGCTGATATTGCGAATGATGGCCCTTTCAAGGTTTTGAAAAAGGCAAACATATAGTATATTGAGACTTTTCTTCCAGTAAATTCTCATTCATTTTACAGATAAATTTTAGGTGTCCAAAACGAAATTCATTTCACGTCTCGCTAAGTCTTGCTCGTGTATTCCAATTCCAAATAGTTACTATTTATGAACCATGCGGGGGATATATACTAACTATTTAAGAGTTAAAATCAACTACAACCAAATGTACCAAGTATTTACTAATCGTTTCAGGCATTATAAAGGAGTCTGGCATTCAATTCACTCACACGCACCCCCCATATAATGCATTTGCATTTTGAGGCACAAATGTGCTATTTTCATCCTTCAAAAAGCAGCTTGATCGGAGAGATTGTAGCTCAGGCTATCATTTTCTCGTTCATCATTTAGAATTGTGACAAAACTACAAGACATTATGAGTAAGAAATCAAAAGTGGTCTTTCACCCATATGCTATCTGGGCTGTGGGAAGGACAAGGTTTGGTTTATGATTGTTGATTCTGTTGTAGAGGAAGATGGGGGTACCACCCTTTTCTCTATTACAATGGAGTAGCGATTGGACCCTCCTAGGCTCTCTATGGACCTCATGTATTCCGATGCATTGTTTTCTATAATCAGAGCATCCTCCAATTCTCTTACAACGTCCTCCATCTCAGGTCTAAATCTTGAGAAGGTTTCAACACATGAGTGTGCTACTTCCACCACTCTCCACATTGCCTCTGCATGATATCCTCCTTTTATGCCAGGATCCACAATTTCATCAATTTTTGCTGCTCTTATATATGGTTTAGCCTGCATGCAAAGTTGATATGGAAGAAGTTTATGATGAACCCAGTTCAGATAGGTACAGTGTGGTGAAATCGTTATCCTAATACTAGGTGCTTCATCAGTGCTCAATTTTCTGAAAAAGATTGGGACTTAGATCATATCATACCCATTCGACTAGGCTCCACTCATTGCGTGGCCTGTGGATGTTGAGAGGTTCCCGACCACTCACAATTTCAAGTAGAACCACGCCAAAGCTGAAGACATCACTTTTTGCAGATAACTGCTGGGTAGTATAGTACCTGCATATTCATAAGTATGAGCTCTTGTGGATACTTCTTATTCAGGTTTTAGTTTCACTCTTAGTACATGATACAAATTTGGCTGTTTTGAATTGCTACAGTAGAGTATGAGCAGTCATTTTGGCACATGTTTGTGCAAAATATTTAACTTTCAGGATGAAGACTA